CCCCCCATTTTGCCCCTTGGTACCTGTATATCTCTCGAACCGAAAGAGCTAGAGCCATGAAAATTTTTTACACTTGTACCTTTATGGGTCAAGCATCTGTAGAAAGTTTCATGAAGGTTCCATGCACCATGTTGAAAATCGATTTTGGAGGGGGAGTGAGGCCTTAAGCAATTGATGTACCTGATTTAGTTATAACATCCAACTTGAAATGCGTATTGTGGCTAAAGTAGCGACTATATCAATAATGCACTTGTGCGGTTCTTTCCTTATCTACTATATTCTTATTTGTCTTTTCTCTTTGTCGCTTTTTCCTCGCTTATTTTTCTCTTTCTGAATTCAACAACCTTCTGATATTTGTCAAAGAAATTTTTCGAATCAACATCCTTTTTACTCGTTCTACTTCAAATATTTTGTTTCTGATCTTCACTACTAGCATGGATTTGTTGATTGCTCTTGAAAAATTATTCTCAGAAAATGTATTAACCAATTGATACATCTGATTCTACTTTATATTGCTTGTTATTCTGAACTTTAAACATTGACGAAGTTTCAGTCATTTCAAGACTTTCTCAAGCTCTCTGGTGCCTAATATGAGGGAGAATACTGACAACTATGAGCCACATTTACTTTTGCTACTATCAACCATTTCAAAACTAGCTATCACTTATGACATTTCATATAAGCGTTATTTCGCTTAATCTCAAGTTAAGGTCAGGTGTAAATGACAGCTTTTCTTAAAATATAAGAAATAGTGAAATTTTCGTTGTTGTATATACCATTCGATAGAGAATTTGATGGCAATCATGAATATGTGTTCTCCGTGTCCCAAAGCCCTTTGCTCACTGAGCTATGCTCAAAATACTAGGACCATGTCAAAAAACCCGCAAAAAACGAGGTTTTGAAAAAGTGGTCCCAGTTTTTCCGGTTTGGGGTTTCAAGCTTTGAGGCTAAGTTTTTCGGATTCCGAATTGAAAACTGAATCTAGAAAACTAGCTCTCAAAGCTATATAACGAAAAATGGATTTTCCCCAAGGCCCGAAACCGATACAGTTCAAACCCGACATCCTCACCTCGCAAAGTTTTCACAGGTTTTTCTTGAGATCGAAACGTCGATATTTACACATGGCTAGATTCGCCTTTCTACAACGAACAAAATTATACGTCCAATTTTTGAAATTTTGTTTCGTTCCTGAAAAAAAAAATCGTTTGTTTCGTTCATTTTTTCTAAATTAGAGAGAAAGAATCGGAATTCTGCCCATAATTCTCAATTTTCTCGATCAGAACTCAACTTTTGAGCAATACAAATATCATATTCGGAATCGCGATAAAACACGTTAAATAAACATGAACTTTTGGTTGTGGTTTGTGTCAGATTATATTTGATATTAGAAAAATTCCTTTGTCTATCAGAACAAGTACATCAGGTAGTTTATCTTCCTCATCTCGATTAATGAGAATGTCTATCATCAATTAATTGTCTGAATGTTGGTTGGATTGCTTTAAATAATGATGAGCCTTCATTAGTTAAATTTTGAGCCGTAATGGCAATATGCTCGTCCAATGATTGTTCGTTATCATTCCATATATAAGGTTTATCTTGACGAATTGGTACTTGAATCAGATCACGTATCGCTTGATATATCTGACGAGTTTGTTCGGATAGGAGATTTCTTGGGTCGTACGTATTTTGTATTAATTTACTTCTCAAATCTACACCTTGTACGCATATTAATAATGCTGTAGCCAAATGTTGCTTCATAACTGAGACGGAATGTCGTGCTAAGTTAGCTGATGTTTGTCCAAGTGAATTTATGTTTTGATTGTATTGTTCAGCATGTGTTGCATATTTATCAGCAATCGATTGACCATAAAATAATAAATAGGGCATGATTGAATTACCGCACAGTTGTAATCCTTTAACACCCATATTGACTTCACGCTGTGGATTACCAATTAAACAGTCCGGTAGTCCATTGCTAAATTCTGGTGTAACCAGTTGTGCTATTTGTACATCTAAGTGCTTTGCTACTAAACCAACTGAATATCTTAAACGATCCATCGAAGTACTTATATGTTCACCAAAGAAATTAGCGCCAGCTAGAGAAAGAAAAAGAAAATTTGTGTT